GAGCAACTAATTTATGTTCATGAGCACGCACTCGTGAGCGTACCATGGTATAACGGAATTAAAAATGCAAACTTTGGAGATTTATTTCCTAAAGACACGGACTTGAGAATATTTAATGCAGCAGATGTAGATTTTGTCCCCAGGCGTATTTGCAGGAAGTGCGCCTAATACCTCATCAACTGATATGGAAAAATGAAATGTATATGCCCTATGTTATAAAAATTAACTCCCACTTCCGGAAAAGCAAAACCGCACAGCACTTTCAAAAATTTAAAGGTTTTCCAATGAAAAGGGAAAGTATACGAGAGCTCTCTCTTGGTCTCCCTGATAAAAATTGACCATGGAATATTGCAGTCAATGTTTACGTTATAGGAGCATGGTATGTAATCAATGTATATTTTTTGCGCTCCGTAATTGTTTAGTTTAAACAAAATGATTTAACTAACTCGCTCGCTTTGATGGCCAAACCCTGATTAGAGTGCAAATAACTGAAGTCTCAAAACGTATTTATAGAAGTTTAAAAGATGATCGAAAAATATCGCACACTGCAAACGCTCAGAAGTTTTCAAAAGATTGTTAAATAAGTAAATAAACCCCTGGCATTTACGCTGAGCTAACTGAAGACAACAGCATTAGCCCCGTAAGTCATGGAGAGATGAAATTCACCTTTCCATTTGATGTTAATCCGGGTAGCAAACATGATTTGTATAATTATGTGTCCAATTCTTTCATCAGGTCTAGTTGAGCCGAAATATGTGTCCTATTGCGACTTGATAATATATCGTAAGACCTTAATTTATAACTCAACAGGTACGCTTGATTTTAAAAAATTAGCACTCATTGATGTATTGAACTTGCACGATTTATGCGAAGATTATCCGATCTTAGAAATAAAGGGAAGAATTCCTATGCACCAACATTATGAATGCGCTTTTAAACAGAACACAGTGGCGGCCTCTGCTCTTTCATTTTTTTGCTTTTCCTGAACTTTATGTTGCACTGAAAGAATTTTCTATGTCTTTGCGGAAATTCATAACAGTACCTATTGGAGAGCCGTACGGATCTCCCCTTTTTCCTTACATATTCAAGTCTTTAGAATAGACAAAGACTGGTTTGCTGCTTCCTAAATTTTTATTTATTTCACAGGCGCATTCATCATAATTCTGGCAGTCTCAAACCTTGCCTAAACATAACTTACCTTAACGTCTTGAACCACAGTGATCGCCTGTGGCAGACATACTATATACTTGATTTTTGTAGGCTTTAAACATTTTGCGGAGATGGTTCGCTGTAAACGCCTGTCATATTTACACTGCCCACGCAGTTTTCCTTGCGGTGGATCTTCGCCAAAATTCAAGAAATACAGAAAATTTCTCGGGGGGAAGGATAGTTTTTTGGTAAGAAAAATATTATGCCAATTCTACCGAGCACACCCGATGGTGTGCCTGGCAGAAAAACTCGACCCTCTTCCGTGTACTTTTTACAGTAACTTTTGACGAACCTACCGGTGTGAACCTAGAAAATGAACATTTTGCAGACATGGGTAAATTGTTTCATCAGCTCATCAAGGTGGCTGTGTAATTTCTATCCAGTAACTCAGAGTTCAACCAGTTTAATCATACAGAAGATGCAGCAATTCATCCTTAAGAAACTTTAATAATAGCCCTGCTCTTCATTTGGACGGGTGGGAAATTATTACTTCTTGTAGAAGGTAAAAACTATAAATAAATATTTTCTATAAACTCAAACAATAGGTGGGTGAGAGTATGCAGGATTTTTCGTAGATCAGCAAATGTTCATTAATTTAGTATTTTTCGAAAATTTACCATCTAATTAAATGGCAACCGAAATTTTAGAATGTGTTTTCGATTCCAAAAAATTGCTTAAGTGGGGTTGTAATACTGATTTTCGTATAGACCATTTTCATCATATTTCCGTCCCACCAGGATACTGGCTCTTGAACGAGTACCCTTCTGACTACCTGCAAAAGCATACTCTCTAAAAAAATGGTCACATGCGTATGGTACATTTTTGGTCTTGATTTGTGATACCTATATGAATTTCGAAAAACATTGGTTACATTTTTTTATTTGACTGCTAGCGAATTACACCTTCTTCATACTGAAGGAAATGGAACCTTTCGGTATTAAAAAGTAATCGTATTATGAGATTCTTGTTACAGAAGAATGTTCACTCATAATACATCATATCCGTTACTTAAGTAGTGTTTACCATAAATAATTTAACATGACCCACCTCCATTGCAAAATTTTGTGAGAACTACGCCACCGCTTCCTCCTAGCGTAGAGAAATGTGTGATAATTCTCAGAGGTAATTCATAGATCATGCAGCTTGCAGACCTTGAATGTAAGCTAAACGGTCGTTTGGGTTTAAAAATAGGCGGAAATGTAAAAACTGTCATTCAGAAAAATACTATTTCCTTGAGTATACATTTTTAAAAAGACGTAAGGCGCTATCAAATGAATACAAAAAAGAATATGTGCAACTGTTTTCTATAAAACATTTGAATTTTTGGGGGCAGTGAACATCAGTGATAAATACGCGTAATGCTTAAATAGCCCTTTGTTACGGACTTTCGATTTGCATGCAGCTTGAAGGAAGCTCGTTCACATGCCGACATCCTGAAGTATCCAAAATATATTGATCGTTGAATGCACGATAATCAATTTTACAACCTAATTTAAGTAGTATTTTCCATTCAAAAACACAACCCAGAAGTTTGGTTGACGTTTAAAAAAATAGGACATAATTCTGTATATAATTCTCAGAGAATTCTAATTCTCTGTACGTACTTCTCAGAGAAGGGCCCGGCAGTTATATTACAAATAGGAGGCAAACAAGCAAACCCTGTGATGTTATGGTGCCGAGCCTGAGTCGGATTATTCAGCTGGCTTTTTTTGACTCTACACAAAGATTTTGATTTAACGTTGACATCTGTAAATCAGTAGACCGAAATGTATGGTTAAACTACTGCACGAAGTGATAGGCCCTTACCCGGCGTCTATACTTGCCCTTGAAGTACGATCGTCATTTAAAAAATTCTTTTCGGTTTATTACAGTTAATGATACAGCTTCCGAAATAAATGTAACAGCAGAGGTAGTCACGAGAGAAATGCGAGCCATGACGCAGGAATTGATGACCTATTCCATAGAGCGTGACATACTCGTGGTTTGGGGTAGCTGAGCAGCATCTATTTTTGAGTGTGCATTGTCTCAAAAAGCACTTCATGATTACTTCAACAAATCTATTAGTTCTCATTGTTTAAGACGGAAGTGGCGACAACAGTAAACCTGATACAATCAATCGTACCTTTGGCAGTGATTCGAAACATGTTTTGGCCTTAAAATTACTAAAAATTGTGTAATAAGCGTGATGGATTGGTGTCTTTGTAATTGGAAACCGATAAGCGAAATATTCAATTCCACATGTTGCCTGGGTGGACATTGTTGCACTGCTGCTCACGCGTAAGGTCTCAAATCTTGTGATATCTACATTGAAAATCGCATGAACAGGGAGTTAAACTAATTGCTTCTGGCTTATCTTCACCCGTATTGTAAGCCTGAGCTAAAATCATAAATCTTGGATCCCATCCTCTGCAAAAAAGATAACTATCCTCATAGTTGGCAGCCCTGAGCCAGCCCTGTCACTGTAGGGGAAAGATACCGGTTGATCTTCGCATAAAAACGCCATTTTTCTTGTTCGGACGAAACAGCCAAGAGAGGTTCAACTAGCTTCATTTGTGTAAAAGCATCTGCCTGCGTGTAAAATCAAAAGCCTGCATTTTATAAATCTGCCTGCGTGTGGGAGCCTTGAACGGCGAGGAATGCAGCGGTGAGGGGTTGGGTGGGGGGAGAAGATGTGCGACCACTGCGATCCCTCATGATTGCATGTGGACAGATTGTCGACTCAGAGAACAGCCAACCATAGTGGACGTCGCTTACGTCCAATATGCTCCGGCTTGCACGAGCAGGCACGTGTAGATTTTCTCGCGTTGCGTTAGCAGCAGTAGCA